CCACGTCACTCCTGCCAAATCCGGCCACGCAGAGACACCATGGTCTGGACCACCCCTTCCCTCCCGGCCCCTTCTCTGGTTCACTGATCACATATGAACCCAAGCGAGCACACACAACCTGGGCTGGGCGCTTTGCTTCCATTCACTCATTCATCTGTCCACATCTCATCTTTATTGGCCTCCTGTGCCACTGAACCCACACCAGGTCTCAGGCCCCACCCCGAGAGGCTCCCAGATGGCCCTGGAGGTGTCAGTGCTAAAGGACTTCACACCAGAACTCAGCCTAGCTTCTGGGCGTGGCTGGACGTGGCACACACCCAGGTGGGGAAGGCCAGGCTCCTGCCCCAGGATAGGCAGGGCTGTCGCCTCTGGCACCAGATCCTTGGCGCCAGCCTCCCCTGGCACACTGGGAGTGTGCATTCAGCTATACACACTGCTGTGACCTTTGACACCGCCCTCCCTCCGAGCACTCCTACTGCCAAGTTTCTTTCCATGGACCCTGGTCTCCAAGAACACCCAGAGCCATGAAGGCCCTGTTCGGAGGCAATTTGGGCAGCCTGAGGGTCACCAATCTGGGGAGGGTGCAACCTCATTCTGTCCTCATGGGTGCTGGCAAGCCTCACGCCTGTGGAAGCAAGGATAGGGCCCCATGACTGCCTGGGCCTGCTTTCTGGATTCCAGAGCACGTGAAATTCTGCAGCTCTCAGAGAAGGGTCTGGGGACTGCCCTCTGACCCTTGAGTTGGCCCCAGAGAGCATGGGGGTGGTGACCAAGGCCACTGCTCTGGTCTGGGAGTCGGCCCTGCTCTGGGTTGCTGCATGTGCCAGGCTTCTGTCTCTTCAGAAAATGGTGTAACGGCCACACCACCCAGGATGGCCATGTGCCACATCAACACAAAGCACCCTGCATGGCCCCATGTTTGCAGGAAGTCTCAGCCCCTCGGGGCCTGTGGCATGCGTTTCCCCAAGGCCCCAGTTCACCCTCTGGAGAGATCTAGGGAGGATGGCGAGAGGAGGCAAAAAAGAAGCAGGAGGCGGCCGTGTGTGTGTGGCCTGGCTGCCCTTTCTGGAATGGAGGTGGCATAGGCACAAGAAGCCGGGCCTGTAGGCTCCCGCCTGCCTGGCCGGAACCACGGGCCCAGGGCAGCCCCGACCACATCCCTGGTCTGAGGCAGAAAGGCGGCAGCCTTTGAGGCTCTGCCTAGGCTCTGGCCCCCACCCTCTCCATTCGCCAGGAGTTTAGGTGGGCCCAGCAGGGGGATTTGTGGCTTCCGGACTCTGGGCCTCTGCACCACCAGAGGGACGCAGACAGACTGGAGGCGAGAGAGAGAGACAGTGAGGGAGACAGAGCAAGGCAGGGAGACAGCGAGGGAGACAGAGAGACTGGCACCCTGGTCCCACCTACACAGGAGCCGTGGGCAGGCAGGGGGCCCTCAGGGAGCTCCAGCCCAGCCTCCCTCCTTCCCAGCGACAGAAGAAGGTGACCAGGTGGCCTCAACAGGGTGGGGGCCATAGTCACAGCGTTTGCCTGGTGGGCCTTTACAGCAGTTTCCTGCAGTGTGTCAGCGTCTGGGCCAGGGGATGAGAGGGGCCCAGAAAAGCTTTTGTGCCCAGGAAGGGGACTCACCCACGTGAGGCTGGTGGCCCTGGAACCCCTCCCTGGAGGACGGGACAGCCAACTTCCCACCACGGCCAGCCCCGGTGGCCTCCTCCCTCCCATGTCCCTTCTACCCCCATCCCACACGGAGAGGAGAAGATCTGTGGTGCTGGGATGAGCCTGGCCCTGGACTTGGGCTTGGCAGGCAGGGACCTTCCTAGACAGGGCAAGGACCCTCCATGCAACCCTATTAGGGGCCAGGACCTCAAATGTCTGGGGGCTTGCTGTGCTTCCTAGGGCAGAGCTGTCTGCTGCAGTTAGTTTCACAGAGGAAGTCTCCTTGGGACCCCACCCTGAGCCCCAGATATGAGAGTGACAACAGACTCTCCCAGGTCAAGGCCCGAGCCAGCCAGGTGCAAGGGAGAGGGACGACACCGGCCGAGCCTGTGTCCGGGAGCCTTTGGAGTTCAAGGTCTTGCCTCTTGGAAGGCGGCCTGACCCCTGTCACCTGGTCCCTGGGCTCAGAGGGGTGCAGTTGGGAGGCTCGTGTTCCTGGCTACACTGACAGGATGGGCTGACCAGGTGCTGCCATTTTGAGGACAAAAGTCCAGATCCTGGGGAAGGGCGGGTCGACCCATCCTGCGTGTGTCCCCACCCTCAGCTCACTGGCATTGTGACATCAGCAGGGTCCCGGTGGAGAAGTGGACCCAGCTTGGGGACGGGAGGGGAACACCGCCCAAGTCCCGTGTGGCCGGTGTGAGCCTGCTAATCCCACCTCCACTGTCCTCGGTGCTGCCTCCAACCTGGGCAGCTTCAGGGACCAGCCTCCTCTCACACCACTGGCCCACCACAGCCATCCAGCGTGGTTCACGGCGACCCTGGGCAAGAAAGGACAATGGGGAAGGGACTCGGCCATGTAATCAGTCACTTGCTCATTGGGGCACAGCAGCCCAGCTCTTAAGTAAGAGGACCTGCCACCCTGAGTTTGCATGCCGGAAACACAGGGGCCCTGAGAGCACTGCTGCCCTTATGGCCTCCCGCCCTGAACCCCAAATCTCCTTGCCCGGCCCTCACCCCTAGTCAGGAATCCCAGTGATGGTGGCAGGTGTCAACAGAGAGACCAAGCGAGGAGGTGGAGCAGGAAAGAGGCCGGGACCCTCATCCTTTCTGCTGTGCCTAGGGGTCCAACTTTCTGTTGAAGTCTCAGGAGCAGAGGGAACGCCTGTGCACAGAGACGGGGCACTGGAACCAAGTGCTTTTACGATGCTTGTGCTGACACGGGACTTTTCAGAGGAGAATTCTAGTGCCTGCCCAAGAGCCCAGGAAAACGTGTGCTGAGCGTCTGGAGGCCGGGCGCTGGGTTGGGCCCGTGTGGTGTGGGTGGTGGGGCCCGAAGCTTCCTGTGGGGCTGGATGCTGGCATGGAGAACCCGAGGCTGGAGGGCAGCCGCTGACCTGACTCACTGACTGTCCTCTCCCGTCTTCCGGGCATACTTCTCCCTACCCCATCCCGCCAGGCTGCCTCAGCACCCTCTGGTCTCTCCACCCCTCTCAGAATGAAGCCCACTTGGGTTCGCTCTTGGCACGAGTAACAGAGTCCTGGAAGAGAGAAGTCTCAGAACCGAGGCTCCTGGGACTGCGGCCCCTTTCCAGACCTGCCTCCAAGGTGTCCAGCCAAGCTGGGCCGGGCGTGTCTGCTCAGGACCTATCACTTGTAGGACAGTGCTGCCATGGTGGTTCCCTGGGCTCCGGGAGGGGTCATAGTTTCGGGTGATGAGGTAGGTGCACAGACAACATCACAGAAGCCACAGCCCATTGCTGAGCTGATCAGCTACCTCGAAATTCTCCATTTCCATGTTGACTGTGAGGCCAGGTGGGCCCTTGGTCATTTGGAAGGGGTTGGGGATGCCTGGGGGGCACCCAACTGTTTACAAAGCACCTAACTCCCTGGCCAGACGTGGGTGGCCCCCAGACGGCAGGTAGATGCCCCACTCCTTCTGCCAGATCCTCCTGCTCCTAAGAACACTCAGGAGAACTCCAAGGGATAAGAGGCCCGCGGTGTCTTCTCTCAGACAGGTCACCAGTTCCCTGCCCTGATCCACTGGGTTCTTCTGACTCCCTGCCCCCATCACATCTGTCCACCAAGACACCCTGCCCTGAGACACACCTGCCCTGAGACACACCTGCCCACCAGGACATACCTGTCTAAGGACACATCTACCCACCAGGACATGCCTGCCCCAGGACATACCTGCCCACCAGGACACAACTGTCTAAGGACACACCTGCTCACCGGGATACACCTATCTGAGGACACATCTGCCCACCAGGACACACCTGTCTAAGGATACACCTACCTAAGGACACACCTACCTATCAGGACACACCTGCCCCAAAACACACCTGTCTAAGGACACACCTGCCCGCCAGGACATGCCTGACCCAAGACACTCCTGTCTAAGGACATACTTGCCCACCTGGACACATCTAACCACCAGAACACACCTGTCTCAGGACATACCTGTCCACCTGGACATTCCTGACCACTAGGACATAACTGCACACCCAGAGAAACTTGCCAAAACACACTTGCCCACCTGGACACACCTGCCCACCCTGACTCACCTGCTTACACATTCACACCTGCCAGGACTACCTTCCCAAGGCCAAATCTGGTCCCCAGGACACATCTGCCCAGTAAGACACACATGCCCACCCTGAGACATTGTCCCACCAAGGCACACACCTGCCCACCAGGACACATCTGCCCACCTGGATACAGCCTGTCTACTTTCAGGACATCAGTGTGGTCAACCCCTGCTGACTGCCCTCCCTCCTGTTCTCCCACCCTCTCTGGGCTGGGCTGGGCTGGGCTGGGCAGGGCGCTTGCCCAAGATGCTGCTGGCTTCAATAACTGGATTCAGAACCCCGAGTAGGCCCTGAGCAGAGCAGGTGGAGATGGGAGGCTGGGAGACTGGACTCCTGCTGCACCCTCGGTCCAGTAGGTCTGGGGATGCCAGCTCTGCAGAGCAGAAGGCAGGTCGGGGCTGCTCATCAACAGCCCCCAGAGGTGTGGGTGCCGGCAAAATAGAGAAACTGGCCACAACCTCACCCAAGGACCCCCTAAGCTCACTGCTGTGCAGACAACATCAGAAGCAGCAGCAACCACAGCACAGCCCGGTAGGGTGCGTGTCGCCTCAGGGGGTGAGAACAACCGCATTGGCGTGCGCCGGGGTGTCAAACGGAAACTTTCCGGTTTTCAGGAAACGACGAGCTTTTCATCCTTTTGGGGTGCTGCGCTGACTGGCAAAGCGTGCACACACAGGCACGGCACACACACACGCCCGGCAATACCTTTCCCTTCAGACACAATCCTCTAGCCCATGCCCTGGCCCCCCTTTGCAGGGGGCTGTGTGCTTAGACGCGGCAGCCCCTGGCTTCCCACAGGGGGCAGCCCTACTGGGGAGGCTTTGTGACGCTGAAGGCTCCTTGTGTTGCTTGGCCAGGGCCGTGACCTGCTTGGTGAGGAGAGAAAAGTTCACTCCTACCTTGGGCTCCTGGAGGCTCTGGGCGTGGGGGGGCTGGGTGGGTCAGGGCCTTCTGATGCCCAAACTGGGTTGAGGTTCAGACGCCAACTTGCAGCACATGCGGCGTGTAGACTTGTACCCGGGGCCCCTCTGACCCGTGGCTTGCTTTCTTCCCAGCAGATCTCTGAAGACCTGGGCAGTGAGAAGTTCTGCATGGATGCGGGCCAGGCGGGGACCGGCAGCTGGCTCAAGTACATCCGCGTGGCGTGCTCCTGTGATGACCAGAACCTCACCATGTGTCAGATCAACGAGCAGGTAGGGCCGGGCTTGCCCACCGGGGCTTCTGCCCCCAGAGCGGTCGTGGACGTGGCACCCACGTTTGCGGAGGTGCGGAGGCGAGGGGCAGCTGAGCCTCTGTAGGACCTCTGCCAAACCCCCCCTGCAGTGGGCTGCTGCCTGGCACTCGGCCAGTGCTGGCTTCTGAGGAACTTTCCCACCCCACAAATGCCCCATCAGAGCCCCTGGTCAGGTCCATGCGAGCTGAAGAGCGGCTGGGGTGGCAGACCTCAGACCACAGAGGTGCATGCTCCCTGTAAATGCTGCTCCCCGTAGCCAGTAGGGAAGTAGCAGGCAGGAGTTGTCACTGCGGAAATGGTGTCTAAGCAATGCTGTTTAACAAGCTCTCTGGAAGGGCCAGCACCCATCGAGTGCCTCCTCGGCCAGGCCTGGCGGAAGCTCAGTCCCTGCAGCCCAGAGCCCCTGGGACTGCGCACACAGCATGGCCAGGGCACGAAGTCCCTCTCCGCTAGGAGGGAACGGATGGTCTCTCTGAACTATGTCATCCTAGCTTCTATCCTGTTCTCACTGGGACTGAGGGACACCTTCGATTCTGTTCCCAGCTCCCAGGGGCCAAGGACCACCCAGGGGAGGGCGTCCAGACCCCTAAGCTGACCCAAAAAGAAAAGGCGAGTTCCTTTCTACTCCAGAAGGCAGCATGTCCCCCATGCTGGTCGCTGCTGGGCCTGTTTCTTTCACTGCGAGTGTCCGAGTTTCCCCTGGAGCCCTGCTCTGGACAGCACTTTTCATCCTGTGTTTCCAGCACAATGCGTTCCTCAGGGGTGCTTGGGGTCCCTCGCCCCTTCTGTCAGAGCAGTTTGCTCTTGCCTCTGGTATCTTGGGGCTACACATGAGATTTCTTGTGCAAACAAGGATTCCGTAGCTTTAGAAAATGTGTCTGAAGACCACATGAAAAGGGCCACTTCTGGCGTGCCCTGTGCGATTTGTTAAAAGTGGTTCAAGGCTCCTGACTTTAGAGAAACAATTTTGCAGTAAGAAACAGAGAGAGCAAACTCCAGGGAGGTTCCCCCAGGTCCTGGTAGGCTGCCAGGGGGTGGGGGAGGGGGTTCTCCCTCGTCTGTTCAGTCTCCTTGGCTGCAGGGCTGTCTGGACTGACCAGTCATTCTGTGACAAGCTGGTTCTGGGGGCACGAGACTCAGGCTCTGATGATGGGATGTCCATGACCGTCAGATGCAAAAATGTTGGAACCCATTCTTCCGATTGCAACAACAACAAAGGCAAAATGAAGCAGAAAAATACTCATCAACTTTAGAACAGAACTTTTTAAAAAATATTTTCCAGCTTTCAGACGAGAGTGCAATTTGAGTGAGGGAGACTCGGGCTTAAGGTGTGTGGAAGGATGGTCTTTCCCTGTTCCTTTCTGGCTCAGGTGTGCCAAGAGCATGTGTCCTTGGTATTCTGCCACGGGCTGGGCCGGGGCTGTGAAATGCAGGCGCCTGGAGCGTTCAGATTCTTTTATTTAAGAAAAAAAGCTTATTAGGATATCTGAGCAAAAACAGTCATGTGGGTATCTTCATGTGTCCAGCCTTTCAAAAAACAGACAGCTGTGTCATCTTCTCAAAGACAAGCCTGTCTTTAAAAAAATCTTCATCTCATGATTAATATTCCAGGGGAGCCTTTTCTTTAGCTACACGAGGCCCAAATGGAATTGACTGCTTTGCAACCAACTGTCCTTCCATTGTCAGGACCAGGGGACAGAAAGACTTTCTGCCGGATGGCCCTCTGATCCCGAACCTTATCAGTTTCCATCTGCTCACCCACCGTCTTCCCACACACGCCCGCGTTCCGAAGCTCCGTCCTGGAGTCGGAAGTATACTTGGCTCTGTTACTGAATCCCAAGGTCATGTCAGAATTCCTTTGGATACCTCCTCACCGGCCACACAGTCTCTCCAACCCTGCCTCGCAGGATTCATTCGCTTTGTTTTAGGCCCATGGGCTGAATTAAAGCCAAGGAATCAGAGAGAACTTGGAATACTCATTTAAGCAGATGCAGCACCAACATGGCCCCAAGCAGAGAGCTGTTCCTCTACTCCTCAGCCCTCAAGTCGAGACCCTCATCCTCAGAGGCAGGAAAGAGCCCTCCACCCCTGGGAACACCCCTCGTGCCAAGCGGGTGACACTAAGTGTTACAGGGAAGCCGGCATTCCTGCCCATGTCCCCTGAGGCACGCTTGTGAACTTGATAAGCCATGTGGCCTTGGCCTCCGAAATGTCCAGGAAAGTGGGAAGTGGCCCTAGGACAAAGGAGGCCAGCCACCCAGACACAGGGAGGAGGTCAGTCATCTGGGCACAGGGGACTGTGGAGCTGGCTTCTGGTCCTGAAGCCACCACTGTGGGTTTCAGTCGAAGGAAAGGGAGCAGCATACAGGATGCATTTCCTTTGAATTATAATAAGATCAAAATTCTAATAATCACATGATAATAATAATATATAATAATAATAACATGAAAACCTTTCCTCAGCAACCCATAGACTCTCAATAAATATTTGTTGGTTAAAATAAGTAAATAACTCCTAGAAATACCTTTTGAAAAGGCTATAATAGATTTCAGACTAGTTTGTAAAGCTCTCTTGGAGCGACAGCCACACAGCTCGGTGAAAGCACTTCTATTCCCAGTGCTGACCACAGAGACATGGCTCCTCACAGCAATCTGTGTTGACCCTGTGTGGGGCTAAAATAAAAACTTCCCCGAAATCTTAATAATAAAACGAAGATTTTTTTTTTTTGAAGACAGGCTTCTCCTTGAGAAGGAAATATTACACGATATTAATGGAGTGTCTCGGGTTTCCATGATCCCAGGAGTTTCTACCAGGATTTCCTGGTACTTACAAACACACACACACACACACACACACACACACACACACACACACACACACGGGGAATCTCTCTCTCCCTCTCTCTTTCTCTGTCTCTCTCTCTCTCTCTCTCTCTCTCTCTCTCTCTCATATGAATGCACACAAGTGGACAATCTCCCTCCCTCTTTTTTTTTTTATTTGAGTGCACACACATGCATGCATGCACACACATACCTCCAACATAGTACAGGCATGGAACGGAAGGAGTCCTAAATATCTAAATTCCATAAAAAAGTATCCAGTTTGCCAAATGGTATTCAGTAGGAAAAATACTTAAGTCAGAAAAGCATGGGTGTTGTTTTGAAGTTGAACACACATGATCTTAGTGTGTTCAGAAGGAAACGGAGGCTGGGACAGAAGAAGTTCTCAGATCCTAAAAAGAAAGTTCTGGAAACTACAGCCTCCCAGAAGAGAGAAGTCCTCCTAACAGGCAGAGGAGAGAAGCAGCTCTGAGCTAAAGACTCTGGTCCATGTGCGCACTGGAGACCCAGGCTGGACTTTTCCACCTGACTCTCCTGCTAGTGGCAGTCAGGACTTGTGCAAACTCAGGGTCCTAGCAGGGTAGCCTTGTGGCTGGGGAGAGACCCACACATCGGGGCATATTCAGGAGTCACATCTCCCTCAGTCTGTCCCAGGCTCCTCCCAGCCTCTGCTATCCACGGGGGGTTGTCCAGATGGGCTCTGGGAGCCAACACCTCCCCCATGCCCCTCGCAGTTCTGTGTGGTGAACGGCTTTCCAACTCATGCCTTGGGGCGCTCCAGGAACCCGCAGAGCTGGGCAGCGCAGCACCTCAGGCATGACGCTGACCATCCAGCCAGGAGGAGCCTCCTCAGGACACTGACCACTGCCCCCACCCCAGCCTTACCTGACAGGCCTGAGACCGTGCCTTCGTGCGGAAGACACCAGCTGATTCACTCTTCTGTGGTGACTACTGGGGGACAAGGGGCAGGAACGTCAGGAAAAGTGAAATCCAGGGCTCAAACTGGCTCAGCAACTGCCCAGCATTTTCCCCGGAGGTGTCCCTCTGATGCGCCTTGCCAACAGATGGCTGCAAGGAAGAGTGGGTTGTGGGTGGCCCGACACCCCCTTCCTAGGCAGGGCTGGCCTGGGGTACCTGCCCCTCCAAGTCAGGGCCCACGGGAGCCTCGTGAACTTGTGTGGACTTCTCATGGACTTGTGTCCCTCCATGGCTGTGGGGAAGCAGGGAATATTTGCCAGCCTTTGTCTCCGTTCTCATCTGGGGGCATGATCCCCACCCCCATGCCCTGTGACTCTGAGAGGGAGATCTGGGGACCTCATGAGAAGTGGCCAGCCCCATCACCCCAGGCCTCACCCCACCGAGGACCACCGCGGCCACCTCCCTGCAGCTGAGGATGGGGAAGCCCGGCAGAAGCAGACTGGGCCACAAAATCTCCTGCCGTTTCACGGGAAAGGAGACGTGGCTATCTATATGCATAAAGAGGCCGAAGACCTCGGCCAGGGACACGCCGGGTCCTTCCGAGGCCAGCAGTTCTGCTGCTCTGGAAGCTACAAAGGCTCCGTCTAGCTGACGGAGGAGACTGAGCTTCCCCTGAAGCTTCTGGGGTGGTCATCTGCCAGCCTAGCGTGTCAGAAGCCATCACTGGGGCGCTGCGATTTACTTTCTCATCTTACATGAACTGGAAGGCAGAGAAGCACCACAGGCTTCTCAGAGCACTCTGGGCGCGTGGTCCCCTCCCCTCTCCCAGTACTCCAACCCCTACTTTCCTTCTCGGAAAATTCAAGACATTCAGATCCCCCCAATGGTTCTTTTTCCTGCAATTATGAGCAAATGAGCTGGTTTGAAATGTTTCAGGAGACACAGATATGTCTGTGCATGAATTTGTTTTAATGTTCAAAAAGAAAACAAGAGCTTGGGACTGAGGTGGCCATGGGAGGAAGCGGGGGGTGGGGTGGGGAGGAGGCTTACTCAGGCTCAGCTTTGTTTTTATTTTTCTCATGTTGCCTCAATAGGGCGAGAATGCTGGTGGCTGGGGTCCACTAGCCGGCGGGGCTGAGGATCGCAGGAGACGGGGCTGGGGCCACACACACTTGTCAGGGGGGCATGACTGGGGGGCTC